ACCCAGGGAATGTTTGTTATTCCAGGTCTCTATGGGCCATGTTTAGGAGAGCACAGAAGAAGAGGGTGTGGCAGACATGTGAAAGTAAAGGATAATACTTAATGGGAAATGGTCATGTTTATCTTCTCTTTTTCCCTTCTTAGGTATCAATTAAACAAAATGTCCAAGATAAACCATACCATGGTGACTGAGTTCATTCTCTTGGGACTGACTGCGCAACCTGAGTTGCAGCCTATCCTCTTTCTAATATTTTTAGTGGTCTACCTCATCACTGTAGTGGGGAATGTAGGAATGATCGCACTGATCAGAAGTGACCCCAAACTTCACACTCCCATGTACTTTTTCCTCAGCCACTTGTCATTTGTGGATCTTTGTCATTCCACCAATGTCACACCTCAGATGCTGGTCAATTTTTTGTCTCAAAGAAAAACCATTTCCTTTGTAGGCTGCATCATACAATTTCACTTTTTCATTGCTTTGGTTATGACAGATTATTACATGCTCACAGTTATGGCCTATGACCGTTACGTGGCTATCTGTAATCCACTGCTCTATACTAGCAAAATGTCCAAGAACATCTGCATATCTCTGGTCACTGCACCCTACATCTATAGCTTTGTCAATGGTCTGATACAAACCATCCTGATGCTCCGTCTATCCTTCTGTGGCCCTAATGAGATTAACCACTTCTACTGTGCTGACCCACCTCTCATGGTCCTCTCCTGCTCAGACACTTACATCAAGGAAACTGCCATGTTTATAGTTGCTGGTTCAAACCTCATCTGCTCTCTGACAATCATTCTCATCTCTTACATGTTCATTTTCATGGCCATCCTGCGCATCCGCTCAGCTGAGGGCCGGCGTAAAGCTTTCTCTACCTGTGGCTCACACCTGACAGCTGTCACTATCTTTTATGGGACTCTGTTTTGCATGCATCTAAGACCTCCCTCAGAGACATCTGTAGAACAAGGGAAAATTGTGGCAGTTTTCTATATTTTTCTGAGTCCTGTGTTAAATCCCTTGATCTATAGTCTGAGAAATAAAGATGTAAAGGATGCTGTGAAGAGGATTGTCAAAAATAAATTCCAGGCTAAATAAGCCCACAATTTCCACCATTTCTGTGTTTCTCCAAGATTACATATAGATGGACCCAAATAAGTGTTTGCAGATTAATTGATATTAGTATTAATATGCAAAGAGGCAGCATGGTACACATCCAAAAGACATGTAATAACAAGGATTTTTTTAGTCCTTGTTAGCCATGGTTGGAGCAAATATGTAAACATATCTGTATTTGCGCACACACACACACACACACATATATATATGTATATGTATATGTATATGTATATATATATGAACATATGCTCCATATTGAGACCATTTACTTCCTACACTCACTTTAAAAAGTTTTAATTGATATCTTTTTTTTATGCCAGTAATTTCTTGACATGGACTCCACAAGGATGAAGTATAGTACCTTCCCTTACAAAAAATAAGTCAAGAAAAACTGACACAATAACCATGTATTTGAATGTATGTATTATTCATTTATCTATAGTCCTCTCCTTCGCTATGTATCTTTGGGGAAGGAAATGTGTTTCCTCATTTGTTCTCTGGGACCAGGTTTGGACATTGGAATTAATCTGAGTTCAGACAGTAATGTGGTACTGTCATTGACATTACTATACTCATTCTAATTGTTATCCTGGCTCCATTTTCTTTACTCTGCATCAGTTCACACTTATTTACGTTGTCCTGAATTTACATGTGTTTCATATGATACTGTACTATTCTATTATATTTGTATAGTACAACTTGTTCATCCACTCCCCAACTGATCAAAACCACAATATTTCCAATTTTTCTCCCTACTATTCAATGTGCTAGTATCCATATTTAGGGCATTTCTTTATTTTACACCCCTGAGGTATAAGATAGGACAAGTCACGGAATTAAAAGGTCAGAGGCTGTGAGTTGCTTAATACTATTTATTATGTAATTCTAAATTGTTTTACAAAATATCATATATACACATATATGTGACTGTATACATACATACATGTATATATGTATCTATACATGTATGTATACAGTCACATATATGTATATATACATATATATGCCTTTTTAATATCCCTCAAACATTGCTTAGTTCCATTTTTTTATTACCTTTGCAAATTTAATGCGTACTTTTAATTAGTAAAAATAATTTTTCTTATTGGATATTCTAGTTATATTTTATAATGGAGATTGGGTTGGGTAATTAAAATGATGGTATAGTCATAATTTAAAAATTTCCTTTTCAGACCACTACTTAAAATAAACAAAAAAACAAACAAAAAACCAACAACAACAAAAGTTAAGGCTGAAATCTGTGAGAAGAAACATGATCAAGTTTGCAGTAACTCACCATAAATATATCATCATAAACGATTCCAAATATATTCTCTATATCTAAGACAGGTCTAGGCACCGGAAATTAATGATAAACCACATTAAATTTATTAACTAAAAATAGCCCATTGTTCATTTGAGAATTGTCCAGCATTGTCACATGACACTCCCCACCAGTTTGCAGGGGAGAAGATATTTGCTTCTTTTTAGCCGTTCTTTAGGAGCTGAGTCTAGGACCCTAAGTAGTCATTCCAAGTTCTCCTTATACAGGGCGATCTTTGAAAAATGGTATAAACACAGAGCACCCTTAGTTAGACATTTTATATTTCCTGCATGAAAATGAGCTTGAAATACATAATTACTGCCTTTGAGAATTTGTCCAGGCCTTATATGGAATGACAGTTTGTTCACGATGGTGAACATTACACCAGGGGAATAATTTTCTTTTCTTTTTTCTTTTTTTTAATGTATCTTTAACTTAAACACAAAAAGATTAAAAAAAAAAGAACATTCCTATTTACACAGCACAGCATAAAAGGAGGATTAAATAGAAAACCATGAATTTCCATTTCACATTGTTTACTTTTTTGGAAACCCATGTAATAAATAGTACATATCATTTTCAAAGATACCCAGATCTTCCTTATAAGTTTATTTTTGTCCTGTGCTGTGAACTTTTTATTTTATCTCTGCCTCCCCACCCCACCCTAGAGCTGGCTACCATTAGACACAGAAATGTACATATGTATAAAACCATGCTGTACAGATTTCTAGTTATCAGTTCTTTCTCTAGATGTGGATAACATTTTCCTTCATTGGTCCTTTGTATCTGATTTGACTATTTACAATACTCAAAATGACTTAGTTGTTCAAAAAAGATGTTCTTAGAACAATATTGGTGTTACTGTATACAACATTCTCTTGGTTCTGCTCATTTCACTCTTCATTTTTTCATGTGAGTATTAAATGGTTTTCTAAAATCAACGAGCTCATCATTTTTATAACACAATAGTATTCCATCACAATCACATACCATAACTTGTTTAGTCATTCCCCGATTGAGTATCCCCCCAATTTCCAGTTCTTTGCTACCACAAAGAGAGCTTCTATGAATATATTAGAACACATAAGGTCCTTTCCTTTTGCCCTAATCACCTTGGGAAAGAGATCTAACAGTGATATTACTGGCTCAAAGTGTTATAATCCTTTGGGGATAATTCTAGGTTGCATTCCAAAATGGTGGGATCAGGTCCCAGGGAATCATTTTAAAGAGATTATTCAAATCTCTGAGTGTGCATGGTTTCCCTGTTAGATTTTAGTTGATAACCCTATTTAACAAAATGTATTATGCCTCAGCAGAAGACATTTCCTCATGCAAGAGTTCATACAATTATATGATAGATTTTTTCCCACATTTTTCAGTCCATCTGCTCAATCAACTAACAGGGCCTAAATGGCTCACTATTTCAGGTACCCGTTGAATTGGGTTTGTCTTAGAAGATTACCTTTTAAGATCTTTTCTGGAGTTATGATAATTTTATCTTCGTTTCTTTAACTTTTTAAGCTTAAGACAAAAAACAAACAAACAAACAAAAAAGTAGCCTGATTCTTCTCCTCATTCCAATCAGCTCTGCATATCACAGCCAGTTATCAGTGTATGTGATAGCTTATGTTTCATGAAAATAATAATATGCTATGACCCTAATCAGATCCCCTCACTTCAATGGTTTCTCATTGCTTGCAGAATATTGACCAAATGGCATCCTAACATTTCAGGCCCTTTACACGAGTTTGCATTTCTGATTTTTCCTTGGGAGATCCTCATTGTCAATATTCTCTCTTTGACCACCCAGTCCTTCAGTGGAGTGGGTAGGGTGAATGATGCTAGCTGCACTCCATCTCATTCCACTGCGAAAGAAGAACGCTCTCAGATCTACAAGTAGATGTCAATATGTTAATTAAAAGAGTCCTATTAAAGAGGAACCCATTGCTCCAGCAAAACTGTCTTTCTTGCAGTTCTCTGAAATACTATGTGCCTTCTAGCCCCCACATCTTTTCTCAAACCTCTCTATCCATAAAATGACCCTGAACATGCAGTAACAGACACAATCCATAGAGTTGGAATAGATCCCTGAAGAGATCTTATCCAACCCATATATGAACACGAAATCCCTCAGCAACATCCCTGATAAATGGCCAGTCATTTTTTTCTTGAAGACATTAAGTGAGGATGAAACCACTGCCTTCTGAGGAAACTTGTTCTATTGTTGGACAACTGTAATAGTTAGGAAAGTCTTCCCTATGTCATGCATAGGCTTCCTGTTTTCGAACTTCATATATAGTTCCCAGTTCTGCCCTCTGGGACCATGAAAAACAAGTCTTATGTCTCAACATCCCTTTCCTCCCACATAATAGCCCTTCAAACACCTGAAAATAACTATTACATCCCCATCTTCTCCAGGCTTCCTCCAATTATCAGTTTTCATTAATCAAAATTCTGTAAAGCCCAGGTAGGGTCTCCCTGCCCCCATCTAACATGAAGCCTTCTCTTATCATATAAGTTCATGGTGAGCTTGCCTTTTATTGAATTCCTGATTGGCACATCATCCACTTCTCTCCAACTAATAGTCTTACAGATGTTCTTGGAGATGTTGAGAGGTTAAGTGAAGTTATTTACCCAGGGTCACACAGTCAACATGTGTCAAAGGCACAAATTTGAACAGTGGGCTTCATAACTTCAAAGTCTGCTGACTATCCATTTTTCCCACGCTATCTCTTAGTACCAGTCTGCATTGGCAGAGCTAGTTTCCTCCCTGGGGAATCCCACAAATTGATGAAATCAACACATCACAGACCCCTCACAATTATATACTTCACTAGTATTTAACTAAAAATAAATGCAAATCAGTAAACAGATTAAGTATCTATTAAGTGTTATGTGCCAGAAATAAAAAAGACAAATAATTAAAGAGGAACGATAGTACAGAAGCAAGTGTGTGTGCTGGATTTGGAGTCAGAGAATCTGAATTCAAATCCTTGCTCTATTTTCTACTAGCTTTGTGACCTTTGACAAGTCAGTCTCTTTGGGCTTTAATTCTGTTGTTTTTGGGGTTTTTTTTTGGTAAAATGAGACAGGTTGGACTTAGTGGTCTCAAAGGTTGCTTCTTCACCTAAATCTATGACTTAATCTGATGAAATACTTCACCTTCCCTATTATTGAAGAGTCATTTCAGTCACATCCAACCTTTCATGACCCCATTTGGTATAATGACAAAGATACTGGAGTAGTTTGCCATTTAGTTCTCTAGTTCATTTTATAGATGAGGAACTGAGGCAGCAGGGTTAAATGAGTTGTCCAGGATCACGCAGCTAGTAAGTGTCTGAGGCCAGATTTGAACTCAGGAAGATAAGTCTTCCTTACTCCAGGCCTGACACTATCCACTGTGCCATCTAGCTTTCTTTAGTTAGCAACACCAATCAGTTAAGGATTGTCTACTGGGAAGAAGCACATGGTATAGTGGATAGAAATTTTGTCTAAGAATTAGCAAAACCTGGGTTCTGGGCTCACATCTAACATAATAGTCACTCAGTCTGTCAAGAAATATTTATTTAGCACCGACTATGTGCCAGCCACTTTGCTGGGAATAAAAATACAAATATAAACCAAGGCAGTCTCTGCCATCAAGGAGCTCACAATCTAA